CTCTGACAGCAGCATGAGAAGAGGTTGGCTGTGGGCTCCTGAGGACCAGGCACAGCTGGCAACAAGGGGACCCTGGGGAAGAACAGAAACAGGGGTCCAGGAAACACTTTGGTTCCTCGGTGACGAAGTCAGTCCATGTCATTTGACACAACCCATTCTGCAAGGAGAGAAGCTTCTGTCTGAGCAGGACAGAGGGCAAACCAGCCAGGGCGGCCCGAGCCGCTGCAGGACTGCTCCGTGAGGGAGACAGGCAGCTCCAGAGGCAGTTTTCCGGTCACCCCAGTAACCACGGGCAGCCAGTGCTCCTGAGAAGCTGCTGAGCACCCCGCCAAGCATCCCCTGGCCCCAGGCATCTACACTGGACAAGGACACTGCTGTCCTCTGACCCCAGCCCTGAGCAGCAGCCAGGTCTCACCCTCAGAGCAGGCCATACACGCCTGACCAGAGCTAGAGGCCTGACTGCGTCCAGCTCAGCTTGCCCTGCTGTGTGGGCCTGAGCCCCACTTTTCCCAGCCTGTAAGACACTCTGGGACCAAAGACAGAGTCTGTGAAGTCCTCAGACGCAAGGACTGTCTCATGGCCTTCACCAGCAGCAGCCCAGGTCCAGATGTCATGGGATGCAAGCAGTCACCAAACTCCTGCTCCAAGGTTCGCAGTCAGGAGGAGAGATGCACAGAGTGGGTGGGGAGCTGGGCAGGAGTCAGCCAGCCTGGGGTCATCACCCTGCTCTGCATTCTGGCTGTGTGTCCTTGTCACAAGCCCCTGCCCTCTCTGGGCGGCAGCCTCTCTGTGTGTTAAGTAATGGTGATCAACAGAAACCACCCAAGAACTTTCTTCTCTTCTTTATCCCTCCTGCTAAGTGGATATTGTACTTATTTTTTATTAGTTTATGATTATGATATGTAATAATTACACCAATTTGGGGTGATCATAACAGAGTGTGAATGTTTACATGTTTTTCAAAGATATTACAGTAAAAAGCACATTGTCACCAGCCCCCTCAACATACACCCCCCACACACACTTCAAACCCACGCATTCCCTCCCCTGGCCACTTTCTGAAGCAGCTCTGGAGTCCTCTTTCAGCCGTGTCTCTAGGAGTTGTGTCAAAGCCCGGTGTGTGCTGCTGCCCGTCCTGTCCAGCGGAAAGGCAGGCTGGCAAACACACTGCCGGGCGTCCTCACCCCTCATTCACACCTCTGTGACCCTGGCTCCTCCCCAAAGCCAAAATGATCAGTAAAGGGACATGTTCAGAGCAGTTCCATCAAGGCAATTGCAAGAGCACAGCTAAGGGCAGGACAGAGGACTCCAGCACTGCTTCGGGAATGGTGGGGACGATGGGATGAGCGCGTGCAGAGCCAGGGAAGTACTCTGAGAGAGATTAATGCCCTTGTGTCTTTTGCTGTAGTACATTTGAAAAAATGCAAACACAGGGCCGGGGATATAGCTCAGCGTTACAGCACCTGCCCGGCAAACATGAGGCTGTGAGCTCAATCCCCGGAACCAAAACAAATAAAATAAATAAATAAACATTTACACCAAATCCACCTCATGTACCCTTTGCTCCTTGCCCACCTTCCCAGCACTTCCCCTCTCCTGATCCCCTTCCCTGTCTCCAAAAAGTTTGCCTCCCTGTTTCCTTCCATCCCTTCTTTGTTTTACTCCTTAATTTGTTTATGTTTTGGATTGTGCGATAAGAGAAACCATGCAATGTTTAACTTCATGAGTGTGGTTTATTCCTTGCAACATGACTGTCTCCAGATGCGTCCATTTTTCTGCTGACATGACGTCATTCTTTTTTTCACAGCCGACCACTATTTCGCTGTTTCTGCAGCGCTCATTAAAAAGCTTAGACTGTTCTTGTTTTCTAGAATCTCAAGATGCATCAGTGGCTTATTGATTTGGGGTCACTCTGTTTTCCTAATGTGGGCAGTGATAGCTACAAACTCCTGCCTTGGAACTGCTCTCACTGTGTGCCACAAGGTCTGATATGCTGTATTTCTGTGGTCATTTTATTCTGGGAATTTTGAAGTTTATTCTCTGGTTTTTTTCTGTGACTCACTGGTCATTCACAAGTACATTCTTCAATCTCCATGCATATTTGTGGTTTCTACAGTTTCTTTTGCTGTTAATTTATAGTCTTATTCCAGTGATCTAATAGGGTGCAAAAGATTATTTCAATACTTTTGTATTTATTGAGACATGTCTTATGGCTTAAAATGTGGTCTCTTTTACAGAAATTTTTATGTGTTACTGAGAAAAATGTGCATTCTGTTGTTAGGTGAAACACTGTAAATATGTGTTAAATCCATCATCCTATGGTGTAGTGCGACTCTGATATTTCTTTGTTGATTATTTGTCCAGTTCAGCTGTTTGTGACAATGGTGTACTGTGACTGTGTTATTGCCTATCTGTTCTTTTATGTTCGGTAAGTTTTATGTTATGCATTTGGGTGTACTAGTATTGGCTGTATGTGTATTTACAATTATTGTATCTTGTTGCTTAATTGGTCTCCTTGTCAATATGTGGTGACCCTCTTGACCTTCTTTATCTCTTCTGACCAGACTGAAGTCAACTTTACCAGACATCAGCAGAGCTACCCCTGCTCACATTCATGCTGTAGCTGCTGTAGCTGACCTTGCATCTTCCATTGTGTATTCTATGGGTGAGGCGCATTTCTTGTAGGCAGCATATATTGAGTGGGTTTTTTTTTTTTTGTAACCAAGCTGCTAGTTTGTGCTTTTGATTGGAGAGTTGAGACCATTTGCATTGAGTGTCATTACTGAAACACATGTACTGATTCTTGTCATCATATTATGTTCTAGTACTTGATTCCTTTTTTATTTTCCTTTTTGTTTAATTACTCTCCTAGTGAGACACTCTTTCAGGCTTTTGGTGTGGTCAACCTCATTTCTGTCTGGATTTCCTCGCATATTTTCTACCGTGCTGCTTCCATGGTTATGAATTACTTCAGTGTATTTATCATAGAAGGTTTTTATTTCTCTATTAATTTTGAAGAATAACTTTGCAGGATATAGTTATCTAGGTTGGCAGTTATTTTCTTTTGGGACCTGAAAAGCTTTTATCCAAGCTTCTCTGATCTTTAAAGATTGTAATAAAATTTGTTGTTATTCCAAGAAGTCTGTCTTTATATAACTTGGCATTTTTCACTAACAGCATTTAGTATTCTCTCTTTGTTCCACATTTTTAAAATTTTGACTATAGTGTGTCAAGAAGAGCTTCTTTTTCTGGTCACACCCATTTGGGGTTCCAGGTGCCTCATTTATCTGGTGTCCATCTCTTTCTCTAGCTTTGGAAGATCTCCTATCATAACTTCAGTGAATAATTTTGTTTTACCCTCAGTCTCTGCCTTGACCCTTTCTTCAAAAGCAACCGTTCTTAAGTTTGTTCTTTTAAAGTCATCTAGAAGTTTTGCATGTTTCATTGTCTCCTGCTGATTTTTCAGTGTCACTGAGTAAATGTTACTTCCTCAAGATTGTTCTCAGGTCCTGACAGTCTGTCTTCTGGCTGATCCTGACTATGGCCAAAACACTCTGGATTTTCATTCCAGGATTTCTGCTGATCTCTTATCAAAGCTTCTAATTCTTTATTGAAGTGCTCTTTTATAACCTGCATTGTCTCCCTTAACTCATTCAGTTGCTTATTAGTACCTAATAAGCCGGGTGCAGTGGTTCAGGCCTGTATTCCCAGAACTCGGGAGGCTGAGGCAGGAGGATCATTGTGAGTTCAAGACCAGCCTGAACTGCATAGAGACCCTGTCTCAAAAAGACCAAAAAAAAAAAAAAAAGATCTTGATTATCTCAGAGATCTATACTTTTAGCTGCTATTTATGTCTTCTTTAAGCAGCTTAATTACTAAGAGCCTTCAGCTATGTATTTATCCTTCTTTGAGCTCATCAGTCACTTTATTCATCTCTCAAGTTCTTTGTCTGGCCACTCATCCTCTTCAGTGCCTGTGAGATCCACTTTGACAGAGTTAGAAATTTTTGGAGTGTCATGTTGCATTGTTTTCTCATGATTGCTGTGATTTTATGTTGAATATTGCAGACCATTTATTCCAGATTCTCTAATTTATTGGAATATAAATTTTCAAAATAATTTCTTATAATCCTCTCAGGTGTGGCTCTACCCTGCTGCTCCAGAGACTCTCTGCCCTTGATTTCTCCCCACCTTTAAGAGGGACCTGGGTTCCTTAGCACCTCAGATAACCTCCTGCCCCAGGTGTTCCCTCCACCTTCTCTCATTCAGGGTTCACGATCTTCAGTCTCATCTGTCTTCGCCTCACTGGTCTTGATGCCCAGGAGGTGGCAATAGCCACCACTGTTTTCCCCCAGAAGAGTCATCCAAGGCCGTGTCTGGGTTAGGTTTTGGCAGCTACATTTGTTCTATTAGTTCCTCCAACCTTCCCAGATTGTTGTATTTTGTTATTTTTTTTGTCTGGGTGCGGAGAATGGAATCAGAATCTTGCAAGATTAAGCATGTGCTGCTCCACTGTGTTACACCTACAGCCACACCACACCCACAAATGTCCCACCTATAAACACCGTCAGATTAGCTTTCTGCTGTCCTAATACTGCACACTGAGGAGTGAACTCCAGCGAGTTTCAAAGAGAATGTGCTATATTTATCAGGGCAGAGGATGGTGTGGACAGTGCAAGGTGCAGGCTGGGCACATTGTGACGGTTAAGGAACTGAAGATGCTTTTACATGACATCAGGCATCAGGTATGGGACACGGTCATGGGCCCTGACTCAGAGTTTGGCCTTCCCTTCTCTGTCTTGCAGGACAATGTCATCTTCCATCTCGAGGGCCCTCCTTTTATTGGCTGGCTTATGCTCCCTTGTTCCTGGCTCCTGGGATGCAGATGTTGAATACACGAATGGAGATTTGCATGACCATGAGCATCATGAATTTGTAGTCTGCCATCATGTTTTCTACAACATTTTTGATCTGGCTTTTTCCTTGTACCAAAAACCAGCCATGTCATCAACAAGCACCAACACCTTACTGTCCCCAATTAGCATTGTGGCTGCTTTTGCCATGCTCTCTTTGGGGGCCAAAGGGGATACTCTCACACAGATCCTGGAGGGCCTACATTTCAACATGGGAATAGTTTCTGAAGCTCACATTCACGAGTGCTTCCAGCTTCTCCTCCACACCTTCCAGCATCCTGACCACCATCTCCAGCTGAGCATGGGCAGCAGCCTCTTTGTCAATGATGACCTGATACTCCTCCATCAGTTTGTGCAGGATATCGAGGAGCTGTACTACTCAGAAGTCATCTCCATCAGCTTTGGGAACTTGAAACTTGCCAGAAAACAGATCAACTCTTATGTGGAGAAGAAGAGCCATGGAGAAATAGTGGATCCGGTCAAAGTTCTGAAGAAAGACACAGATCTCGTCCTGGTGAATTATATTTCCTTCCATGGTAAGTAGGGCTCCCTAGCTTCAGGCGATCTCTATGAAACAATACAGCATGTGCTGCAACAACCCCTCCCTATACTGCCCTGGCAGGGAATCCCAATTTGGGCACTGTTATGTTCAACTCAGAAACAATGAAACAATTCCATGAACCAATAAGAAGACTGTGGGACTTGTGAACATCTTTGTGGTCCTAATACACAGTGGAAATGCCGAGAAGAGAGAGGCACCGGAAATGGAGTATTTCCCTAACTAGTGAACCAGAGATACAAATTGAAACAAATGGTGAAGACAGTAGTAGTTCATGGATCATAATTTAGACAACCTCAGAGTCATGGAAGGGTGTCAGCTTTTGAATACTAACGACTTGGGTAAAAATCCTGCCTCCACCACTCATTAGGCTTGATACAAAACAAGTCATTTGACTTCTTGGAGGCAGCAATTCTTTTCCTCATCATGGACAAAAACCAAATAAAAACTCCTTTTGAAAGGATTAATCAAGGTACACAATACAGGAGTTTGGGTACAAATCTATTCCCTTGTTATCAAGTGATGGAAGAATTAATCAAGTTATATTTTACATAGGGACACACAGAACTGAGCCAACCAGCCTTAATCCTCAGCCTCCCTCCCATGTCCGAGCAGTGGGAAGCCAAGACACCACGGGCCCCAAGTTCTAAGACAGCTTCCAAGGATCCACGGAAACAGCCTGGGAGAGGGGAGTGGGGGTCCAGGCCAGGGCCTCATCCCTGGGCAGAGTCCAGCAGTACAGAGCACCCAGGCCCCGGTCAGCACAATTGAGGTCCCTGCTCAGCTGCCACTTGGGGCAATTCTTGTCCCCTCACCAGTCTCACCACCTCCTCCTGTCCAATGAGAAAGGCAGGCTCGGGGTCCCAGAGTCACCCGCCCACATGGACGGACTGGAAGCCAAGGCACACTCGCAGAGGGGAGGCAGCCCAGGCTGGCCCGCTTCACATGCTGTCCAGAAGAAAAAGGCCTCAGGGTGGAACCCAGAGTGTCTGCCCTCAGAGTGACTGAACCACCCATCTGTCAGGAACAGGAAGCCTCCAGGAAAGAGTGCCCAGGTGTGACTTAGGGACCTCTGTCCATGACCAGTAATTTCATTAGCATCCTCAGTCCTGTAGCAAACACATAGAAAATGTAAATAAAGATGCTTCTTCTTTGGAGCCAGCTTGTCACAAATCAGCCTGAGTATATCCAAATTCCAGGTCCCCCTCCTGCTTCAGGGTATTCCATGAAAGCCCGTCAGCAAGTGCTTGTCTTTATCCCATTTGACAGATGACCAGGGTGAGTCTCAGGGGGCAGTGTCTCAGGAGGGACTCAGGGCTGCCTTCCTCTGACCCAGGTCCTAAACCTCAGTCCCTCCCCTGCCTGACATCTCTCTCTCCAGGAAAATGGACTGTTCAGTTCCCGGCTGAATATGCTGCGGAAGAAGACTTCTACATAGATAAGGAGACAACCGTCAGGGTGCCCATGATCAATCGCCTAGGTGTATTCTTACTGAGCCGGAATGAGGAGCTGTCTAGCTGGGTGCTGGTCCAGCATGCTGTAGGTGACACCATGGCCTTCTTCATCCTGCCCGACCCAGGGAAGATGCAGGAGCTGGAGGAAGGCCTAACGCAGGAACACTTCAATAAAATCCTCAGAACCATTGGTGAAAGGTGAGTCCCCACTGCCAGAAACCTACTAGGAGCTCTGAGCCATGTCTAGACGGAGGTCCTTTAGGACTGGAAGGGGCCTGGGGAGGGTGGGCCCCACCTCTTGGGTCACAGCTATTGGGGAATGACCTTGTGCTTCCATCCAGACCCAGTGTCAACCCCGTTGCACTGGCCAGGCTCAGTGTAAGGGTCAGTAACCAAAGTACCACAGATCCTGGCCTTGGGACATCTCCTCCCACCATGGACAATGTCTCTTCCCACAGCACAGTTATGTTAGGATAAAGAACAGGGCGGGGGGCCTCCAGGCAGAGGTGGCTGCCAAGTGTGGCATCTGCGCTGCCCCTGGGTGGAGAGCGTGAGGCCCCACGTGGAAAGTCCTGGAATAGGAAGCAGTTTCCACTCAGCCCCTGCTGCACTCAGCCACACCCCACTGAGAGTTTGGGAGCTCTTGGAAGAGAGGGGACCACATACTACAGGACAGGATGACATCACTTCCAGAGGGCACCTTGCTTCTGCCCAAGGGCTCCTTCAAGGAGGTGGCTTCTCTGGGGCTATCAAGATAAGAAGGTCCCTGTGAGGTTGACATTCTCCACGCCTGGTAGAGAGGGAACTGAAGCTCTGAGCAAGCAGGGCAGCTTCTCATCCTGCTGTGGAGGGGACAGGGCACTGATACGAGACACAACCAGGAAGGACACAGGCTGGACCCCAGCAGAACTCGAGAAACACTGTAAATCTGCTGCCTTTTCCCTCACGCCTGCCAGGTCTGCCAGGATACACTTTCCCCGACTGACCATTTCTGCAACCTACGACCTGAGGAGCATTCTGAGCACACTGGGCATCACCAAGATCTTCAGTGATGAAGCTGACCTCTCAGGGGTCACGGAGGTGGCATCCATCAAGCTCTCTGCGGTGAGGTCACCTCCTGACAGCACTGCCCTCAGTGTCTGAGGAGCAGAATGAGTGTTGGGAAGAGCTCGGGTGTGTGGCTGGGCAAGGAATCACGGGCAGCAGACAAGGTCCGGGCTGAGCTCATTCCCAGGACACATGGAATTAACTGGGACGGGAGGGCCCGGAGGAGGAGACAAAGGAAGCGGCTTCCTGTGCTGCTGGCACTGCAGGGATCTCCCTTGAAAGTCTCACTAAGCCTTGGTCTCATCTTTTCTTAGGACAGTTGGGTTTTTAGGCTTCAGTTGACCCACACTTACACAGAGAAGCTTAGACTCAGTGATTTCACAGAATATTCTGGAATCTTCCATCTATAAGATTTAGAGCTTTGGTGAAACACTAGGTGTGAATTAAGTGAGTTCAGCCACAGAGGTCAATGGCTCAGAGAAATTAAAGGGGACCATGATCAGATGCAGACCAGTGAGGGCTGTGCCCTCGGGGGGACTGGGCACTGAGAAGGTCACCAGCAGAGTCCTCATCCCAGGACCATATCACTGATACATGGGAAAGCAGAGGCTTGTGAGAGGACGTGGCCTCCACGTAGCTGTCCCTTCTCGATATAAAAGGTGTAGCCAGGATGGGAGGATGGAGCCAGGAAGGAAGCAGAGGACACAGGAGGAGGCCAGGCAAAGGCTGAGACTGAGGGAAAGTCTTGGTGTAACCACGCGGGGCAGAGACCATGGACAGGGCAGGGCCACTGGGAGGAGAAAAGCCCTGTGAGGCTGCTCAGAAGAGGCTCCACTAGGGCCTTGCTCTGGCCAGTGGTGGGAACGGCCCATCCTCAGAGCCTGCCTCTGCCTCTCTCCCCTCCAGGCCGTGCATAAGGCAGTGCTGACCATCAATAACAAACAGACAGAGACCGAATGGACCACTGATTTGGAAGACAGTGCCTGGTCACAGACCCTCACCGTCAAGTTCAACAGGCCCTTCCTCCTCTTCATCCGGGAGGAAAACACCAACATTCCGCTCTTTGTGGGGAAAGTGCTGAATCCCGAGCAGCACTGAACACTTCAGCGCTTCCCTGACCAGGTCTCCTTCCCGGGTGACATTAAAGAGATGCTGATCTGGCCACTGCCTGTGTGTGACCCACCCCTTCTTCCTCCTGTGTCCGAGTCTCCCTGTGCATCCCCAGGTTACACACGGAGGTCGCAGTACCTCTCAGTGTCACTGCACCATTGTGTGTGGGGTCCCTGCTGTGTAGTCTGTGCTGGGAAGGACAACTGTGGCTGTGTCCTCATCCTACAGCCCCGGGCCCCTCTGCTCCTGAAATCTCCAGTCCTGCCTGGGCGACATGAGGGGCCTGTGTGGCTCACCATCTCAAGGTTCACAAGTGTCTCCTGTCCCCCAGTGAATCCACACCCATACACACACACACACACACACACACACACACACACCCCACTGCCCACACTGTGTCTCCCTGCAGGATTGGGCACACCCACCCACTGCCCCTCCTGCTGCTCCCAGACCTGGCAGCTCTCTCCCTGGCACAGAGCTGCCACCTCTGCAGCGACGTATCTCTGTTCCCTTCCATCTCACTTTGCCACCTCACCAGCACTGGCCCCTGCATCCTGTTGGGAGCCATCGAAGCTGGAAATTGACTTAGGGCATGACCCAGAGGTGATCCTACCACAAAATAAAGAGCTCCCGGGTCAGCCATGTGCAGAAGTTGCTACAGCCCAAGAAAACTCCTAGCCCCTGGACAATCCAAGCAGTGGGTTGCTAGGCAGAGGAGCTGAAATTGACATCCTCTTTCCCAGTATAGAAATAAACACTCTGCATTGGTTGAGCAGTTCCTTTCCTCCCATCAGGAGGATGAGGACTCCACCTGACCCCAGCTTTGTCTTTTCTTTATTTTTCTCATCCTCTCATGGTCCTTAATCCCAACAACCTCAGGAGCTACACTGGGTTGTGGCTTATGGTGCCCGAACACAGATGGGGTAAGAGACTGAGGTGAGGGGACACTTCTTGTGTGCGTGCAACTTAGGGAGAGAAGTTTCTTGGCATAGGTCATCATGTAAGAACCGGTGTCGCAGGGGAGAAGACCTCAAGGACTCAGCTCGTAGTGAGGAGTAAAAAGTTTATTTCCATGCACATGGGGTCCCCCAGGCAAACAAGTGTGGAGGGCCCTGAGGGGGAATTGTGTAGGGTTTTTAAGGGCGCAAACGGGAGGCAAGTGAGTTTACAGAAGCAGACTGCATTGGTTAATTTTGAGCAGGATAGGACTTGGCAGAAGTTGATTGGAGGGGTTTGGGGTTGAGTAACCATGGAGACTGGGGGTCCTAGCCCAGTCACTATGTGCCCAGAACAGAACAGTTACTTGTCTTACTTATCTCGTTGAGACAGAACAACCTTGCAGGTGCATTCTTTTTTTTTTTGCTCGGTTCTGATAGCTCTGGGGAGTTAGGCATTCCTTTCTGCTCTGCTCTGATAGCTCTGGGGAGTTAGGGAGTTAACCCTTTCATCTCCCCCTTCTTCTTGTAAATGGCCTTTAGGAAGTTAAAACTTAACCTAGTTGGATTTGAAGGGAGAAGGGGAGGGGAAGCAGCAGATAGAACGAGCTTTTTTGGTCTCTTCAATCACAGGAGTGTACTGAGATTGGCTTCATCAGGTGTAAAGAGTGGGGCATTGAAACTCCCTTATTCTCTCGGGCCAGTTATAAATGGGCTTGAGAGAAATCCCTCCCCCTGAAAAGAAAAGAAAAAGGTATATTAATTATATCAGATGTCTAACTATGGGACAAACATTCAAAAGAATCACAAATGCATAAGGAACTGTTTGTTGTATGCTTGACTCCAGTATTTACGTTCCTTCTGTGGATCTGGATTAGACAGGGTCATAATAATTGTGAGCTTCTTGAGACAATCACAATGGAACTGGCTTCAGGCACTGTTTCAGAATTAAGTCCAAGCAGGGAAAAGATGGTAGCATGACCACCACCAACCTGATAACCTTAACTGAGCCACTAACTGTCCGTTCGACAAAACCTTCTACTATGAGTCCAAAGCACAGATGATGGTATCATTGGCCCACTTGATGTAAACCCAAAACTGCTACAAAAGAAAAACTTCCAGCAAGGCCAGCAGCAGCCCTGCCAAAGAGTGGGGTGTGATGGCTCAGATGGCTTCTCTGAGATGGCCTGACCCCACTTGGCCCGGCAGGCTACTAATGGTTGGGGTCCTGATTTGTGGTTTGCTGATTCCTATTTACAAAATGCTCTAATGAAAGACAATTTCAAATAACCAATATGACAACAAATAATCTTTAAAACTTCTAAAAATTCAACATTTGGCTTTCACTATCTGATAACAGGCTGGCTCCTGCATATCACTGTCTCACTATGGCTTTGTGGTGGGTCTTGATATCTGGTAACGTAAATTCTCAAACTCCATTGTTTCTCAAACTTGTTTACTACAGAGGTATTTGTTTCACAATTAATGTAACTCTACATTTATTTAGGTCCTTTCTGCTTTCTTAAATCAATTTTAAGTTTCAGTACAATGACACTACACAGCTTGCTAAATTTCTTGAGTTTATCTCTGGAAGGAGAAATTGTACATTTACATACTTGGAAGGAAATTGAAAAACAGCTTAGAGCAAGACTAGGGAAAAAATAAACCAACACAAATCTAGTTTAGCTGAACCTCTACACATTTTTAAGGGTTATTTAACAGGGAGAAACAGCCACTTTCGGCTACTTCTCACGGGACCCCAGGCAGGAGAGGGCACCAAAGCCTCCACTGAGCTTGGAGTTTGGCCCAGACAAGAAAGGTAAAGAAACAATGTTGCTTGCTTCAGTTTAAGGGGAAATCAAGGTTATGTTTCAATCTGCTCAAAACATAGTTCAAATCTCCTTAGATTATTGTATTGTTCAATTGGTTATTTTTCCCTGAACAAAAATTGGAAAATCTATAAGTAAGGAAAGGATACCTAATGATTTTGGATCTCTGATACTAATTAGAGAGGTGGGACATGGCCGTGGCCTTCCCAAGCCACCCTGGATTTTCCTATCACCTGAGCACATGCTTTATGCATCAAAAGTTTACACTGCACTGGTGCTCAGATCCCCAGCAATAGCCGGGCCTCCAGCCCAGAGCAGGAGCACTACCCACATTTCGCAAGAGAGCCCAGGGTATCTAAATATAAAATGCACTTTTCTTTTTTCTCTATATCTTACCACAAAAAATATGACCTTCAGGTCTAAAAAGAGTTAAATGTGTTAAATGACAATTTAAATTTCAAAAAACAAAAGGGAGAGTTCACTTCATAATACATTTCACTTGGCAGTATATACTATTTAAAATATTTAACTTCTAATAAAGATCTAACTACTGAAGCAAAAAGATAATGCAATCAAATAAAGTTTAAAAAGAGTCCATTGGAAAGATTTGCCTACTGACAATAAAAGCATCCAGTCCAGTGTTAATGTGGGGTGGAGGGTATGCATATATTTTTCCATGAAAAGCTAAATGGCCTATCTGGGAGCCAGTGTGTGCTGTCCAGCTGTATCATGGGCTCAAACCCAGAAAAGGAGTTGATTCTACCTCTCAAGAAGCTGATGCTCAGTCCTATGACGTTGATGCCTTAGAGACCATGCCACAACCCATAGAAAAGGATGAAGCTAGAACCAAACTTAATTGACACAAGGTGTCCAGAAGATGGTAACAAAAAATAAAATGTCCAAACAGATGAAAGAAGTACATGTTAAGTCCTATGACAAAAATATAATTAATCATAGATAAGATTTTGTCATTTTCAAATTATTTGATAAGAGATCTCTACTAATTGACCTACAACAAATCTGACTGGTCTATTTAAAATTAAAAATTCTACAATTGTAAAAATGTTTATGTAATTCAATTTGGCTAAAATATATTTGAGTGCACTCTGATTGTGAAAGATATTTGTAAATCTGTCTGTGTATCTGTTTGTTTATCCAATCTTTTAAGCTGTTGTTGGGAGTCACTGAGCTAGTGATCGCTCACACATATTGAGCCCGTACAGGAGTGCCCAAGTGGCATGGAGAGCCTGAGAAACACCCTGAGGGCATGAGGTGCTGGAGGTGACAGGTGTTCCAACCTCAAGGACACAGAGCTAGCTCAGCAACGGGGCATGAAATAGCCCCCAGGAACTTAGAGAGTTATTGCGGACACCAACAGCTCTGTGTTTGCTTCTACGGCTGTTTAAATCTGTACAGATCATCTATCCGTTTGTCCATTTGCCCATTCTGTAAACAACTGTTCCTTTTATTTGAGCTCGACAATTTTCCTTTTTTTACATTTTTGGATCATTTAATCAACATTTATTTGGGTTATAGAATTATAAAACATGCTTCTACTTGGTCCAAATGCCACCTGGGTTGCCAGCTGGTCCAAATGATGCAAAGATTGGTTATGTAAATATAATATATATTGTTGTTTACTATTGACTTGAGTCTCTCATTGTTTAAAAAATTAAATAGTTAAATGTTATAATTGGATTTTTTATAAGTCATCAAAATTATATTAAGATAAGTAAAAGTCCCTTGGGGTTGGGATTATTGGACAGGACTTAAATTGATGAATAAAAAAAGTCTTGTTCATTGATTGGACCCCAGTGATCTCCATAGACTTATGGGAGACACCCCAACTAAAGTTATATAAAAATATTATTGTAATATGCTCACATTGATCATCATCAAAAGAAATAATACAGTAATATTTTTTATTTAAAAATGCCCATACAAAGGTTTTCACATGGTTATGACAAATGATTGTTGTTAACTTCATGATGTATTCATATATTCATGCTTCCAGATTGGTTTTCCAAAATGTAAATGGTGACAAAATTTTGATTCAGAGTCAGATCTCTGCCTTCAACAAATGCTTATGAAATCTACATCCCACTAAACATAAAGTTAGGTAAAAAACTTTTACGTATTAGAGAGGGATACTTGACTAAAAGGAGGTATTTGATGTCAAAATGCAAATTCAAATGTGTATTTAAAAATGTCATCATGATTGTCA